TATATATATATATATAAAGTGTTTTACATTGATTTTATTATAGTTGACATTAAAATTTAACTGTGTGTGTCAATTAGTTGTCCAACATAGAAAATTAAAACTTTTTATAATGTCTATATTTATGATGATCTAAAATAAACATAAAATACAATGTCTTCACTAGTAATGATTATAAAAATACATCAAATATATATGAGTAGGAAACGTTGCTTTAAGACACTCTATTCTTGAGGGTACAGTTGCAAAAAAAAAAAAAAAAAAAAACTTTAAAAAGTTGCATTAGAAAAGAGAAAGTGATGTTAAAGAGTAAAGACAAAGAAAGGCAATAATGGAAAACTAAGAAAATTAGAAGAGCTGGAGGTGAATGTATTGACAAGAGGGAGGTGAGGTTCAAGACAATGAACAGACGAGAGCGAACAGGGCGGAGGTGACAAACATAAAGAATCTCTCTTAAAAATAAAGATATAAAATTTGGGCCAAAAGAAAATTAAAAAGGTCACCAAGAAACCTAAAATACAATAAAACACACAAAGTTTCAAGGTAAAACCATAAAATGTAATGAAATTTACATCTAAAATATCTTAATTTTATTATTTTTTATGTTTCATAAGTATTGTACACTCCACAAAAATAAATATAATTGATTTTTCTATTTTTCTTAGATCATTTGATCCTAGTAAGTCTTTTAAGTCTTTATCCTATCTAATAATTTATATTGTTTCTTACATAAAAAAAACTTAAAAAACAATAATATAAATTTTAAAAAAATGTATTTTACGATAAAAATATATATATCTAGATACTTTAATTTTGAACATAAAATATACATAAATGCACTAAAAATGTGTAGAAAAATATATAAATTATGACTTAAAAAGATACGTGTCAGTGTGGTCAAGTAGATTTAATCCTATATTTAGTTGAGTAGAAAGAGAGTGAGAGAAAAGAAAAAATTTGAAATTTAAATTAAAAGGAAAGTAAAAAGGAAAAACAAAATTTGAATTTTTGTCTCTAGAAATCAACTTTCCTATTCATTTTTGTTTCACTTTGTCTTAAAAAAATTGTATTTTGTTGTTTCCTTTTTTTCTAATCTTTTTCCTTTCACTTTTATCTTTTTCAAATATAAACAAAATATATGTAAAAACCAATCAAATAATTAAATTTAATGTAAAATTATTGTTTTAATCAAAAAATTATTTTTCACTCCTACACAAACCTGTTTTTTAAGAATAAACTAAGTTTCACACTTTTTTTTTTTTATCTAACTTAATTTTATTATACGACTAATGGTATGAAATGACTGAGAACCGTGACTTTTGCAGTGAACGAATGCGTGTTTGGCCCGAAATTGCTAATGATAAAAACAAAACAAGGAACAGGTTGACTCAGCATGCGCACAGCTATTAATAATAATAGTGACAAAATACAGTTTTGACATCAATAGCTTACCATTTAATATTTATGATGTTTAACTCATGATGCATCTCGTCTCAGTCACATGTAAAGCAATGTTTAACTGTTTCATCTTCATGCTTCCTTGAAAATGAATTTTGACATCAAATGGATCAAAGTTATTAACACTTTTTATTTAGAAGTTTGTTAGACATACATATCCAACAAATCTGAAGTTATACTAATGAAAAAAAAAATGTTTCGATTTTTCTACCTGGATGATATATATGAAGTCACAAGTCTAATTTAATTCTTCAGGAACAACTGGTCTCTACTATTAACATAAATAATGTCACACTTCTAATTAACCATGTTTGAATACAACTTGTCTCTTGCTCTACCTCGTTTTGAAACATACTATTCTTGTTTCACCCTTAGTTTGAATAAGTACATTTAGAAAAGAGAAAAGAAAATAAAAAATATTTTTTTAAAATATTAAATAGAAAAAAAAATAAGAATTAAATTTGTGAGATGTCCTACAAAAGATAATTCCCCAATCGTGAATCATGAGATGATAGAAGGAAGTGATGTTTTATTTTTCTTTTTCTTTTGAGTTTTAATTAATATTTAAAAAAATTAAGTTATTTTTTATGTTAAAAAAATATATTAACAAAAAATATATATTTTTAAGTCAAATCCACTTTTTTTAACTACTTAAAAGAGATAGTATTTATTTATTTTCACAGCCTTTTTCTATAATCCGACAAACTTAATTTATTTTATTTTGTTCCTGTTTTTATTCTTTTAAACAACACATATTTCATACTCTATTTTTATTTTAACTCTCCTTCTTATTTAACTTTTATTTTTTTTTCTCAATTCACTCCTAATAATTAAAACAAAAGATGAAAAATCTAATAATTAATATATGAAGAACTTTACACAATTTTTTTACAGAGAAATATAGCAGTTTTGAATGTATATGTCAAATTATGTTTCCAAGCATTAAAAGGTGACAAAATCAAATTATATTATTTTATGTTTTTAGTTTTTTTTTTTAAATTAGAAAATTTTGATTTTAGTCATTATATTTTTTTTTTACTTTAAGATTTAAAATTATATTTTTATATCTTTATTATTATGCGATTATTTTTAACTTAATTACGTACTTTTTATAAGATTAAGTCATTATTTCAAGTACATAATTATCTATGATATCATGTAAATGTTAATATTTTATACCTATACCTATTTTATAAATTCTTAAAATAAATACTATTTTATTTATATTAAAATGAAGATTAAAAATAATAATAAATTTAAATCTTAAAATAATGAAAAATTAAAAAAATATTTTTTAAAGACCAAAATTCAAAATTTATTTATTTTATGAGACTAAAACTAATGTTACAAATTTTAAAAGAATCAAAAGTTAATATATATATATATATATATATATTTAAAACACATTTATTTTATAGAAATTAAAAAAATTTATTATTATTTTGTTTTTGACTAATAAACATAATTATTATTACTAGAGTTTGACCATATATAAGTAACATTTGTTGTTTGTTTTTATTTTTAATTCAAAATTAATTAATAAGATCATTACTTTTAACTCAATTGAAGTTTCTTTAAAAACAATGAAATAAAGAATTGTAAAAGTAAAAAAAATTGAAAATAAAAAAATAAGGATGCAAATAAATTGTATTTGACTTTTAATTAAGGATGTAAATAAGTTAGATTTTAAACAGGGACATATAATTTGTAGTAGCATGTTTAATAAAATAAATAAATTTAAATCTCAAAAAATTATTTAGTTTAAAAAATTAAATTTAAATTTATAAAAAAAGTCTATTAAATTTCATAAATTTATTTATTTAACTATATAATATAATAAAAATTTATATACATGTTATATTATTAATGATATAAGTAAATTTATAATATAAAAAATAGATTATTTGTATTTTTAACATTTTTATTATATTTAAATATTTTATATTTCTTGTTTATACGAAATAAATAAATAGAATATAAAAACTTAATTGTTGCATTTTGCATGTTCTTTTCTTTAATTTTTATAATTGATTATTAAAATATTTTGAATAAGATATTTTAAAAAATTGTAAAATTATTACCTTCCATCATAATATGTTCATAAATGTACATTAGTATATTAAAAGAAAATAATACAAGTCTCTCACTTATCATAGATGTAGTCATAATATATGAATGCATGTAAGGAGTGTATTAGATAAAATATCAGTATCACACTAGAAATAAAATCACAATATATAAGTGAGACAAATTTTTGTTAAAAAAAAGTGCCACAAATGATATTAAAAATTCATTAATTCAATTATAATTTAATAGACTTAAATCAACTATTTTGCTTATACAAAAATATGATTGAATTTAAGAATTATTAGAACCACCTCAATCCTTATAATCAGAGACAGCTTTCTTAAATCTACCGATAATCTAACTCAGACAGCTAAAATAGATTTTAACTCACGGGCATGTTCACCTGTTTACATTCTGAACCTGATATGGAGTTATCCAACGTCACATGATATCATTACAAATAATTTCTTTTTATGACACTAGATTACCTGTTTGGGTAAAAAAGGTGTAAATGAGAAAAAGAGTATTTATGATATGCTTCATTTAATTTCTTATTAAATGAAAATAGTGTAATAAAGAGCTGAAAATGAAACTGCACCACTTCTGTGAGAGTCTTGAATAGCCATATATACTCTCACCCATCTTCCGAATGGAAGAAGCTATAGATTCACGTGAGAGAAAGAGAGTGGCAACAATGTCTGGTGTGTGGGTTTTCGACAAGAAGGGGGTGGCGAGGCTGATAACACACCCAACCAAGGAATCCTTCGAGCAGAAAGAGCCAAAGCAACCTGGCACAGCCACCGCACCAGGCGCTAGGCCAAGAGTCTTGGTCTATCTCCCGAGCAACCAGGTCATTCGCTCCTACACCGAACTCGAGCAGCGACTCACCGAACTCGGCTGGACTCGCTACCGTGACTCTGACCACTCAGACCTCATTCAGTTCCACCGCTCCGACACCTCTTCCCACCTCATCTCTCTCCCCAAAAACTTTGCCAACTTTAAGCACTTCCACTTCTACGACATCGTTGTTAAGAATCGTTCCTTCTTTCAAGTCCGCGACCCCACTCTGCTCTTTGAATCATTTCAACCATAGACTCTCTCCTCCCATCTCAATGTCCTTGTTATGTTAAAAATTCAAATCTCATGTCAACAGAAATGAGACTAACATAGAGTATATCAGTGAGACACAAATCTCAACTTATTTGAAATTTAGGTTTAATTTAAACTTAAAAAAAATAATGGTCTCTTATTTTTGTACTCTATTTTAATGTTATTTCTAGTCAACATGAGCATTGAATTTTTCCCATATTTATCCTTATGAACAATCCTAATGTGCACTTTAATTTTTAGCCAAATATAGATTTGCATGTTTTTTTTTCTTCATATTTGCCTTCTCATCACTCCTTAATTCCTTGATTTTCACTTTTTCTCATTTGGCCTTGATTGGATTGATTTACGATTTCACATAATTGTAATCGCTAATTGAGCTCAAGTTTGTTATGTTTGAAGTTGCATGTGTTGGAAGATTATTTCAAATACTACACTACTATCCTCGTAGCTATTGGTGGATTTATGTGCTTGCTTTTTTATTTAAATTGAATATTGAAAAAGACTGCAGTATTGTTCAGGTCAGACGCTAGCTTCTTTACCTTTTTTGTATATGTATTAATTATAGCCACTGTAGGTTACATGCAGAAGTTATTTTAAAACCCTAAATTGGTCATTAATGAAGGCAACTATAATATGTCGTGTTGTGTGTACGTACGTAGATGAAGATAACTATCTAGTTGCGATGATGAGTTGGAAACGAACTAATGGCAGGGAGGTAAATAAGTGAAGAAATGTGGAATGATTCGTAGATAGAATTGTTAGGGCATGGGGTGAGTTTCGTGTGTGATTAGTGAATGCAGGCGATGTGTTGTAAAAAGCTGAAATAGATGATGCAAGATCTTAGATAAGGTAGTAGGTGTCGATCTCAAGGCTGCTACACTAGTGTACTTTTGTACTATCTTATATATCTTTGTATGAGCCATGAGGGACCATCATTTGAGGCCTATAAAGGCTATGAGAGACTCTAGTGTACCATGGATGGTCATAGAGCTAGCTAAGGTTTGTGGAGAAGGACGAGGGGGTGAGAAAGAGAAAGAGCGTCGTTTGTTTTTCTACATGAACTCATTGCATGTATCATATGGTCAAACAAAATCCCCTACTGTGCTGACTGAAATTCAGTGGTCCTACCTTTTTTTATTTTATTATAACATATATATAATAATAAAGGGGAAGCACTTTTTTCTAGATTTAATGGCACAGTGCTGAGTAGATTTTAGGAACTGAGAGAGATTTGCAACGCAGAGTACAGCATAGCAAAAGGAGAAAGAATCATACCTTCTGATTAGACGTAACGACTGAGCCATTGCATACATACATGTAACATGCATAGATATTAGATGATTAAAAACTAATGTTATTGCCTGCGACGGTACCAATGATTCTAGTTATCGTTTCTGCCTGTTAATCATTCATCTGTGACTCTAATTAATAAATTCTTAATATTTTTTTACAATGATATTAGAAAGAAATATTTTCGATTAAAAGTAATAATTTTTGTTAAGATATTCTGAGCCATACAGTGTATTTTTTTAATGTAAATTATTTTATATTTAAGATTACAACTTATTCTGTATAATTTAGTTAAATACTTGATACTATTATTACTGTACTAGTAAATTTTTTAATATTTTTGTGCTGATATAAAATTTAATTAGATTATAACTATTCTTTTTTATTAATTAATTAAACTTATCATGCTAGACGTTATTTTTTAATAATTTCCTAAAATATTATCGTAATTATTTTTAAATGTTATTTCAAGATTTTTTATAGATCTTTCTTTGATTGTTATTAATTCATTCTTTAATATTAACATAATATATAATGACTTCCTAATTACATATAAATTTGAATTATTAATAAAAATTGATCGAGTTAGAACTTGGAAAAATTTTTTTTGTAAGATTATCAATTTTAAGTTATTGGTGTGTAGAAAAAAGAACTGAATCGATTGTAATTACTAAGTGCGTGTTTGGTTTCACGTTTGAAACGTGAAAAATCACGTTAACGTGGAAGCTATACATTATAACTTTCACGTTGAACGTGATTTTTCACGTTTCAAACGTGAAACCAAACATGCACTAAGTACTTCAAAGTTTGTTTGTTAGTGTTTAACTAAGAAAAAAGAGTCACAAGATTGTGAATGATCCACGCAGCATCCACCAATCAAGGATGCAAGTGGTATATCTAGTCAACTAACTTTTTTTTTTATTTTTTTTTTATTTTTTATGAATGATACTTACCGACACAACCTTTAAATAAACTTTCATTTGGCAGGTAAATAGTTGGAAGACATGGCAATTTGTTACACAAATGATGAATGTGATAGCCTAAATTGACCGAATAAAACCGTTATTCGATCATGATCACGAATTGATTTGTACAATTTTGTACATTTTTTTTAAATTTAATTTAATCTAACTTGATTAATGAAATTAAATTGATTAGATTAATATAATTAAATTTATTTTTTTTATAAAAAATTTAATATTTTAAAATAAATATAAATATTTAATATTTTATTATAAATATAATGTTATTAATTTATAAAATAAATAATAATATAAAAATAATTTATTAATTTATTATATTATTATCAACTCAAATAATATATAAAATAAATATTAAAACAAATATAATATATTATTATAATATTATTACGAATTGAGTCACGTCACAAGTAAAAAATATAAAAATTCGTGACTCAACTTGTATTGTGTTGAATTTTAATAAAGTTAGATCAAATTTAACACAAACACTTAAAAAAAATTTAACTCAAAATCTTTGAATCAATTTGAGCTCATCAGAGTTCACAGATTATGCATATCTATTTACGATTCTAGTTAATACAATTGACGTGATAGTGGAATAAGCATTCGATATGGCTCTGAAATATATTTGATTGGTCAACAAAGGCACCACTGGGCTAGGATCACCCTAAGTAGGGGTGGGTATGGATCGGTTTTTTTAAAAAAACCAATCCAAACTGATTCGATTCATTTTTAAATGGATTGGTTTAGTAGATTTCGATCCGATTTAGTTTACTGATCTGATTTTGAACCGAATCTAATTAATGGATAAGTTTCGAACCAATTTCGATCTAGATTTATAGATTAATTCATTTTAAAAATGGATCGGATAAAAACTAGTTTAAAACCGGATTTTTGAAACCAGTTTCTTAACCAGTTTTTTGAAACCAAATTCTTAAAACAGATTTTTTAAACCAATTTTTTGAACCAAATTTTGTAAAGCAATTTTTTTAACCCAATTTTTAAATTTGTTTTTTTAATCATATTTTTTACCAATATTTTTAAACCCAGATTTTAAAACTATTTTTTAGAAATAAAAGGAATAAACTATAACATGAAAAAATAAGAAAGAGAGATATCTTAAATTTGATTTTTTAAAAAAATTGACTAAACTCAATTTTACGTTAAAAAATTGTATAAACTTAATTTCATTAAAAAATTTGACTAAAGCGAAGATACACATTTAATTTATTATTTGTGTAACATAATTCTAGTTTAATTTTATGTTTAATAGTTTAGTTGTAATATTTTTTATTAGAAAATAAAAAATTTAAATAACATTTACTGAAATTAATATCATATTGTATAAATAAATATTGAAATAAAAATCAGATTGAAATTAAAAAAAATGATTGAAGTATGATTAACCTGCCAACGTAACTACTGTTGAAAAAAACAAAAAACAAATATAAAACACATATGATTGATGTAGTGGATTTTCGTGGCAGTTAATAGAATTCAGTAGTTGTAACAAGAGGCTCAAGAGTGCAATGCGTAGCCGCGTAGAAGACTAGGAGCACTGGAGCAGCGCAGTTGGCCGCAGCGACAGTTCGGATACGAAAAAAGTAAAAATTGATTTTTTTAAGGGTTTGGATCCGAACCGTTTAAGTAAACTGGTTTGGTTAATTAGTTTTTTCTAAATCGGTTCAGTTCGGATATTTTATGTTTGGATTGATTATTTTTTGGATTAGTTCGGTTCAATTTTAAATGGTTCGGTTTGGTTCGGCTTTTTTGCACACCCCTAACCCTAAGAGATCAATGTGAGAGCTAGACAGAGAGGATCAGAAGCTCAAAATTACTCTAAAAAAAAAGACTTACATGCATATTTAAAATAATTTTATTGGCTTATTTAAAATTAATTTTATTAATTTATTTAATATTTTTAATGTAAATGAAAGTTTTAAATAGACTAATAGGTTAGACTTCTAAAATGTTAAGGCTAGATCTACAAAGATGTGATAGATAATATACTAAACTTAGATATTTTGATTTTATAAAATAAGTCTGGCATGTATATTTAAAGTATAATTGTTTATTAATGTTTGTTGGTCTGACTGGTATTCGGACCTCAAGATCTCAAGTTTGAGTCTGAAGTTTAATGAAAAAAAAATATTAAAAGGTCTTAAGGGAGACTAGTTTTTGACGAAGTTAATGGATACTCTTTTCAATAATATGATAAAAAATATATATATAATTGTTTATCATTTGTACTAATACGTGAAATAGAAAGGGGAAGAACAATGAGAGAAAAACAAGTCAAAAAATAAAATTAAAATAAGGTATTTTTCTCTCATTTAATAACATTCAATGTAACGATTCACCATAACAATATACGACATATCTACTAGAAGCGAAACATCTATTAACTTAGGATTATATACCTATAAATATAAGAATATGTATTATATCACATACATAAAAAGATAAAAAATAACTACATAATTGTGTGCAATATAAGTACAATAATCTTGTAAATGTAAACTATACAACCTAAGTAGTCGATCAAGCAATTGATACTATCTACACAAGAACCACCCTTAAAGGTAGTCATCAAAAAGGACATCAAGCTCTAATGCCGCTAAATGACCTCCACTACATAACTCTATACCTATCTTTGTTTTGCTCCTATATCACGTATAATTATCGTAGTCCAAATTATATGGAAAGATGTAAGAGTAAGCCAGAGTTTAAAAGCATTAATGTATAAACAACATTCAATGCAAAACAACTTAAAACATCATCGCATATTCACCTCATGTTCAACACTATCAACATGCATCATCACAATACAACCATCATATGTAAGCACAAACAACTCATTTTATCATAACATGATATCAACTTGATATCATAGTATTTTCAACATAGATTGATCATTATAGCAATACAGTATTTATAACACAACAACTACATGTATCATCATGCATTTCAATTAGGAGATCTCCTATAGCACAAGGTGAGTAGTTTAAGTGGCTTGACCCTACTAAACCAACAACACAAGGTGACCTTTATGGACTTGCTATATCAATAACAAATTGAATATAAATCCACAACACAACAACTTGATTTCTCGAATGTCCTCACTTAAACAAAGAAGTCTAGTACTATTGTCAAGGTAGAACAACTGAGTATGGGTCTACCACGTCATTAGCTAACTTAACTAAGCTTCCTATGGAATTAGTCAACTGACTACCCTCCAAATACTACGTCATTCTAATACTTGGTTAGAAACTAAGTTTTCGACTTTGTACTTTACATGGTTACTCACTTATAATCAATATAGTTCAACTTAATCCTTATACTGTGGTTGTTATATATACATGTATATCGACCTTGTCCACACATAGTGCTAACAAAGTCCCAAAAGAGATATAACACAATCATCCACTTTAAGGGTCAACTTCTCAAAAAGAATTTTCAACAAAGTTGGACTTTTTGAGCACCATAACACGATATCCACACAATGGGATATGCAACTTTCAAAAATCTTTCCTCTAGTCCAAGGTTAGTTATCACAACTCAACAACACAATAACTTTTTACATATTCAACACAACAACATAATCGACATACAACTCTACATCTCACAACACAATCATCACTACTCTTATTCTACTTATTGATTATCATTCATCTCAGCAACACAACAACATCATGCGTATAAAAAAACTCCCAACATAGCTACACAACTACATAACCTACTACTTGTCTCAACTTTCAACTAACAACTCAAACAACAATATGCAACAATTCATCAAATCCAACAACACATTTTCTTTCTTCCATCAACGCCCGACACCATTCAGGCACAAAGTGTTGGGCCCGATAGTCCACCCGCTCCTCCACCATAGTATGATATTGTCCGCTTTGGGCCCAAGCCCGCACGGTTTTGTTTTTGGGCTCCTTCCCAAAAGGCCTCATACTATGTGGAATGGTGGACACTTATAAACTAGCCAATGTTCCTTCATTTTACCGATGTGAGACTTGGGATGAATCCCAACAAACCTCCCCTCAGACCAAGGACCACATGTCTCGTGATCTCCTCCCCTCAAGCGATAATCCGTCACCATCTTGTACCGCCGTTAACTCTACGGGACACGCCGCCTGAACACCACAATATCAGGAAGACTTTCGACACAAGGCACCAAGTTCGAATCTCCATCGCGAGGCACAACACTGAGGGTCTTCCCGCATCAAACCCAGACGAACCGTTGGCTCTGATACCACTTGTAGGGCCCGCTAGTCCACCCGTTCCTCCACCATAGTATGATATTGTCCGCTTTGGGCCCAAGCCCGCACGGTTTTGTTTTTGGGCTCCTTCCCAAAAGGCCTCATACTATGTGGAATGGTGGACACTTATAAACTAGCCAATGTTCCTTCATTTTACCGATGTGGGACTTGGGATGAATCCCAACAAACCTCCCCTCAGACCAAGGACCACATGTCTCGTGATCTCCTCCCCTCAAGCGATAATCCGTCACCATCTTGCCCCGCCGTTAACTCTACGGGACACGCCGCCTGAACACCACAATATCAGGAAGACTTTCGACACAAGGCACCAAGTTCGAATCTCCATCGCGAGGCACAACACTGAGGGTCTTCCCGCATCAAACCCAGACGAACCGTTGGCTCTGATACCACTTGTAGGGCCCGATTGTCCACCTTTTGCACCACCATAGTATGATATTGTCCGCTTTGGGCCCAAGCCCGCACGGTTTTGTTTTTGGGCTCCTTCCCAAAAGGCCTCATACTATGTGGAATGGTGGACACTTATAAACTAGCCAATGTTCCTTCATTTTACCGATGTGAGACTTGGGATGAATCCCAACACAAAGCTCTCTGCCTCACCCACATCTCTACCTAAATCACGCTCGGCGTCATCATACCAACTCCCGACATCATCTAAACAAAGAGCTTTAGTTTGACCACGTTAAGCGCCACTCAACTTTGGGCCCAACGTCACCAAATTAGAGACCTTCCAACATTTTCACGTTGAACATCATTCAAACCATATCCGAAGTAATTCCAACCAGAAATGAATCTCTCACCTCATGTTCAATGCTACCAATCTTGTACTCGACATGATTGAGACAAAAAACCTCAAACTAGAATGACACCTAATGCTATGGAAGCGTGCCTGACGTGATAACATAATTTGGCATATAATCCAATTTTGAGCTAAAACCTGAAATCCAGCAAAGATCCAACACATACAACATCAAATAACATCTATACACATCACCAACGACACATATATGCACTGAAAACCAACATGCAACAACAAATCATTTGAATTCATCGCATTCTTGCTAAGAACCTTAAACCCCAAACTTCCAACATGCTTTTCACTTCAAATTCACCAACACAACCACCAATCTCCAATATTTCACACCATATACAACATATCACTAGTGCAAAAATTGGATTTAAAATCGGAGTTTTAAGATCGGTTACAAGGTAACCGATCTTAAAAGTGACGCGGTGACAATTTTGTAAATAACATGAACATTTTTAAGATCGGTTAAAATTTAACCGATCTTAAAAGTACTTTTAAGATCGGTTATAAAAGAATCAATCTTAAAAGTAGCACTTTTAAGATCGGTTACAAAAGAACTGATCTTAAAAGCACTTTTAAGATCGGTTATAAAAGAACCGATCTTAAAAGTGGCACTTTTAAGATCGGTTGAACCGATCTTAAAAGTGGCACTTTTAAGATCGGTCATAAAATAACCGATCTTAAAAGTACTTTTAAGATCGGTTCATTTATAACCGATCTTAAAAGTGCTACTTTTAAGATCGTTTCTTTTATAACCGATCTTAAAAGTGTTACTTTTAAAATCAGTTATTTCAAAACCGATTTTGTATGTAGTATACAAAATCGGTTCTTAAATAACTGATTTTAAAAGTATCGTCAGAAATGTTTTATATTCCCCTCCATTCTCATTTTCTTTAATCTTTCTCATTTTCTAAAGTCTCCAATAAGGTAAGTTTCGTTGTCATTTTCGTCTTCTTATGTTCTTGTGTTTTTTTTTCGTTTTCTGATGTTTTTCTCGTCTCAATTTTCAGTTGGGTAAATTTTGAACCTGGAATGACCCGTTCTGCAAGGAGAACGAGCCGTTCTCCATGGAGTATGGGTCGTTCTTGTAATACCCATTTTTTTATTATTATTAATTATCAATGGCAAAATAAAAAGTAATCATATTTTCTAAATAGAATTAATCACCTATATACTGATAATGTAAAAAAATTTTACACTGACAATCAATCATATCTTTTAATAATGTCATGTCATTTACTTATTTAATCAAATAAAAATAAAATAAAATAATTTAAAAGATATAATTGATTGACAGTATAAAAAACTTTACACCGACAATATATACATGATTAACTCTTCTAAATATCCCTACAAAACTCAATTTTAAAACTAATTCTTCCAACGTCCATTCTTCATTTCAACCTTAAATTCTTCACAATAACACCCAAACGCAATGGTGCGCAACTAACCTGTAACCAATGTATTTTCATCAGAGGACATTATAAGAAATCGTCAATCAAAAGTTTAACTATTTTCCAACAAAAAAATAAGCGGGAAAATACAGCTGCTCCAATGTTTTTACTAGTAATAGATAGATATTACAAACAGACGAAATGGCATTTTTCTAAAATATGCCCAAGAAAATTACAAGAAGCATTTGCTTCAAATCAGAAATAACTAAGTGACCATAGGAAATGAAACAATGAAGAAGGAAACAAAAAAAAAATGTAAAAAAAAAAATTAAAAAAAAAATAGTACAAGTGGAAATCCACTATTGAATTGGTGTGACTACCGCTTCTGCTCCATCTTTGCTTTAAGGAAGAAAAAAAATAGAGGAAAGAATCATCATAAATCTCAAATGTACACAATCATACTAAACTTTCAATTTATTGTCCACTAGGAAGCACATCAGAAATCCAATCAGAAGCTGCCGTTTGAATATCAGTTTCAATATGAGGAGAAAGAGACAGCGGAGTCACTGCAACCTGTTCCCCCAGATCACACGCAAGAATCAGTCAGAACAAGGGGAAATTGGTAACCCCCGAAGACACCAGCATAGTAGCATGCACCAATTAGGAAAATAAAAAAAAAACTAATTAAAAAAAACAAATGTTAATTCAAAAGGCAATAAATATTGGTCCAACTTACATATCCACTTTCAAGTGCTCTGTAATCCAGATCTTCGTCTATTTCTTCCTCTTCCTGCTGTTTGTCCAAAAACTGAAGATACAAGTAGAGTATAGCTAAGTTCACTTCTACAAACAATTCAAAAATATTTAATAGGTATACAAATACAACATAAATATAAACAAATGCAAGAATGGAAATTAGCAACCCGAATCATATCAACAGACTGCACAGAGGTGTCACAAGTAATATATATGTAGAACAGTAGATGAACCAATGGTTAAAAAAAAAAAAACCTATTACCCCTTACCCTTTCGTTTCCTAGCTCTACTTCGCAAAGCAGACACAAGGGCCATGTTCTCAGTCTCCTGAATTGAAAAGACACGTTAAGTTTTCCAAAAGAGAAATCAGAAAAAACAATGATACGAGTCATAACTCACCCTTGTTACCATCATATGTTTCAGGGCACCAACTAGCTCAAACAAATACTCATAAGCAGCCTTGTGTGGCTCCTGCAAAAAGAACCCTTCAGTTTCGACTAACCATATTAACAAATATGTTGTAAATCATAAATAATGGCACTACCTGTATGTTGGGAGGCAGAGGCAATCCTTCCACCAATGGTGCCCTTGGAACCGGCAAAACTTGAGTACCACCAGAACCGTCAGGAAGCTCAACACTCCAACATGGGGCATTGTATATGCCTAATGCCCCAAAGTCAAACTCAGGTCTCATCCCATCCGGATAAATTCTTTGAGGAACAGATACGGCAGAGGTGGAGGCCTGTGCATGTATATCAACAGAAGTAAGCTGATTCAGTGTTTCCATCTTTAGCAAGTCCAAGGAGTACGGACCGTTCTCCAAGGAGTACGGGCCGTTCTTCAAGGAGAACGGGCCGTTCTTCCTGGAGAACGGGTCGTTCTCCCTGGAGAACGGGAAAGTTCACTTTTAGGCCTTTTGATCAGACTGGAACGGCCCGTTTCAGTTTTGGAACGGGCCGTTCCAGTTTAATTTTTTTTTACCGCCACACTTTTAAGATCGGTTATAAAACAACCAATCTTAAAAGTTAACTTTTAAAATCGGTTGTTTAACCGATTTTAAAAGTCTAATTTTTAAAACAGTTCTTTCAAAATCGGTTACAAAACCGATTTTAAAAGTAAAAAATAACCGATTTTAAAAGTTTTTTCCACTAGTGTATAAATCATTTACTATCTATCAACTCATCCAATACACAACAAATCAAACTTCTCTTACCTTGAAACAAAAGAGAACCGGGGGAAGGAGAAGAAAATTTGAGACTCTACTCCTCACTCCAACGAATTAATCACAAGATTTTGGGACTGACCTGAATCCAACAATAGAATAACCCTAAACCCTAAACCAAAAATCTTAAACCCAAAACAAAAATCTTATATATTCTCCCACTCGGGATCAAATTGGTCTTCTGTTCAGAGAAACTTTTGATACTACGAAAACTTTTATGAAATCTTCAAACCCTAGAGTCTCTCAACATTAATTAATTGCTTTACATAACAATACGAATTAACTTAAAATAATTATAACACTCTAAAACTTACAGTATTACATTTCATAATAAAAATAATTATGAAAGAAATTATATAATTTATTATAATATTTTATTAGTAACAACATAATTTGTTTACATAAAATTTGTGTATCATTAAAAAAAAATACTAGAGAAAAAGGTCTAGTTGCAGCTTTTCCAAGAATTCCCCATTTTCAGAGGAAGTCATTACCTATGTCCCTTTTTCTTTATTCTATTTTGGCTTTCTTTCCTTAGCAAATTCCGAACACATGGCACTGCGTGCGTTTGCGTATCATTTAGCTGAGAAATATAAATTCTAAAGTTTCCACTTTGTATACCAGAAATGGGCTTTTATAACCACGGAAAGTAAATTTTTTTTAAGAATCTCTAAAATGGTAACTTTAGAGCTTTTTATTCTATTAAAAATAAATCTTAATAACAAGTTTTTATCTTACACATCTACTATGAAAAAAATAATTTATGTAAAAGATAAATTAAAGAGAAAGGGGAATATTTTTGTTATTTAAAATTATTCTGTAATATTAAATATGATTAAATTAAAGAAATGAAAATTTTAAAATTTAGTATAAAATTATTATGAATATTCACTAATCAAAGGCATTTGATGACCATCCCATTCTTGTTTAATGGCTCATGTTATGATGGAAAAATAAAAGAGTATATATATTTTATTTAACCCACCGTATCATAGATACTGACTCAGTTACTATTGATTAAAATAAATACATCATTCCCACAACAATAAATTTTAAATAGGTTTATATATTGGTAATTTATAGGTGACTTTCTCATCCATAAAAAAAAATATGGGAAAGTTTTTCATTATAAAATTATAACAGATTTTGCCTTTAATAAATTTTAATTAATTTAATATATGAATAACTATCTTATACTTTTTCTTTAATGGGATTGTTTTTAGATTTTTTCTTCATGATGAGAAAGTTTTTAATTTCTCAACCATTTCAATTTGTATTCATCATCTATATTTTAAAATTAAATTAATAATTTTAAAATCAATAATTAAAATATCTTATGTTAGAATATTTTTTATAAATGTAAAATATAAAGTATATTAAAAAAATATTTATTTATATATTTTTTAAATTAATATATTAAATATTATATATATAATTTAGATTTAAACATGATTTTAATTTTTCAAATTTAAGATAATTTTAGTTTTAGTCTCTGAATTTTTTTAGTCTTGTAATTAAAAAAAATATTTTAATTTTATATTGAATTTTTGTTAAAGAAACTATTGAATATTGGTACATAAAATATATTTATTGATGTTTCAGTTAGTAAAAATGTCATATTAAATTTGAGGACTAAAAATATATTTGAATTTATAATTTAATATAAAAAAATTTATAGATAATAAATATTTAATCATGGTTAAACAGTACTGGTAGCAAATGACTTTTGTGCTTATGATAAAATATATTATAATAAATACTCTCTATCAATAAATTACAATAAGCCAATCCGTTGGTAGATATAAATAACCAAATTATAATTAAAATTTTAATATGGAAATAAGTTATTGACAGCTATGAATAAAAAATAAATAAAATAGTTGCATGAATCAATAAAGTTGTCGACAACTAAGCCAACAGTAGTTATAACGAGTTAAATAACATTTTATTTTTTTAAAAAGTTAGACAATTACTAAAAGCTTCGAAGAGATTTTTTCAATGGCTTAAAACCACTATATAATATAGATGGAATAAGTCATCAATAATACAGTGGTTAAATGCCATTGTATTACCGACAAAATTAATGAGTTAAACTCACTATGTTATTGGTGATTTTTTCTGACGTCATCGGTAATTATTTGCAAACAAAGGAATTAACAAGAAGTTTGAGTTTGTCAATAATTTTGAATTACAATTTATTTTTCAATTACCGTGAGATTTAAGCCATTGATAATGGGTATTTTTCTTGTAGCATAGTTTATTTTATGGGTATAAGTAAGTACGGGTAAACTATAAATTCAAACTTATCCAAATCAACTCAATGAGTTCAAATCAGATTTTTTAGTATTTGGGTTAGACCCAATTCAACTCGATTAAAATATGATATTGTATGAGTCAGATAATAAATTTTATATTTTCAACCTGTTACTTAATCTGACTCAATCATATAATAATAATAATAATAATAATAATAATAATAATAATAATAATAGTAATAATAATAATAATAATAATAGTAATAATAATAGTAATAATAATAGTAATAATAATAATAATAATAATAATAATAATAGTAATAATAATAATAATAATAATAGTAATAATAATAATAATAATAATAATAATAATAATAATAATAATAATAATAATAATAATAATCATAATAATAATCATAATAATAATAATCATAATCATAATAATAATAATAATAATAATAATAATAATAATCATAATAATAATAATAATAATAATAATAATATTTAAATAGTCATTTATTTAGGATAATATTCACTTTCACTCTTAGTAATAAGTTTTACATTTTAAGTTAATAACAATTTAACAATATAATATATTTATTTTAAATTTTATTTTATATTAATAAATATTAATTTTTTGAGTTAATAATAATGAAAAAATTAATAAATTTATTTTAGAATTTAATTTATATCATTATTTTCTTTATATGTTGATAACATTATATCAAATGATTTACATATATTTTAAAATATTTAAATTTTTACAAAAAAAAAAATAATTTTAATTATGTTCATCCGATTAATCCAATTCAATTCAAATTATGTGTGATTTGGTTGGGTTGGATTTAAAAAAAAAATTTGCACAAATTCAATACAATCTAACCCATTAAATTTTAATTGAGTAAGATAATATACCTAATATAATTTAACCCACTTATACCCTATGTAGCCAAAGTGGAAAGTGATTTAGTAAGAAATGGCGCGAGCTTCAAAAAATATCACTCATAGAGTCATAGCGGTAAGTGGAGGTGCCTTGAGGTGAATTTTTTGTGATTTATGATTTTGTTATTAATGAATTGAGTTCATGAGCCATGACCATATTTTGCATATGTTCCAGTTCTTGGTAAATAGGATAAAGTTTCTTAAGTTGTGAGAGAAATTGGACTTTGGTTAGAGAATTGGGCTCAAAATTATTAGGCCCACAATTATTTATGTGTGTGAAATCATATTTGCACCTCCCTTATCAATAAATAAACCGTTTTTTTTTTTTATAGAAAAAATAACGAAATATTTGAATTTATTTTTAAAATATTTTTCCAGAAAAGTTTTTTTTAATGCTCATCCCTCTTTCATCCTATATTTTCTTTGCTACTTTATCTATTATTGAATTCTCAATCTGATTTTTCCCCTTAAATTTTTTTTAGTAATCAAGAAACTTGCATCTCATCTCCATTATTCTTTAATTCTTATATTCACAATTCTATCTTCATTATTGTTTAAATCCTAACTTTACACTTCATCTTCATTATTATTTAAATTCTTTACATTTATTTTCTTCCCCTTTGATAAAAATAATATAATTATAACAGAAATTCACAATTGTATTCCCAACATTGCATGCAACACATAGATTACTATATTGAATCATGTTTTTGATTGATAATTTTTGTAATTTATTTAATACAATTTATATGTAACAAAAGGTTGACATATTTGGTGATTAACTAAGTTTATGCAATTTCTTTCATACATTATTGTCTTTTTAATGTATGAGAGTTCATGTGCTTAATTTTTTTTTAAAATAATCATGATATTGATACAAAGTATCTATTATAAAAAATAATGATTAATCTTCGCTAGAGATCGTGACAACATACAAGGTGAATACTCTTTCCAATATAGTATATTTCATATTTAAACATATACTTAGAATTTAGCCATTTTTTTAATATTATCATAAATAGTATTAAAAAGTGTTTTTTAGAACTATATATTTTAAAAAAGAAAAGTTTTGAAAATTACTTTTCAAAATAAGCATATGTTAGTTTAGAAAATAATGTTCGGAACTATGTTATTTTATTAAATATAACTGAAAATTATTTTTCGAAATAGTATTTGTTCTGAAAATTATTTTTCTTAACATTATTTAAGTGATAAATTTTGAATGGTGAAAGAGGAGTGTCTATTGAAGAGTCATGAATTAGTAATAAGCAGTGTTTTAAAACCCGGACCGACCCGGCTGGTCGGACCGGTTGAACCGGGAACCGGTGGTCCAGCCGG